AGAGTTATTATGCAATCTTTTACATTTGTACAACTCAATCTCAACCGTTCATTTAATTTGATGAATATTGATTTCATAAAGTTTTAATTGTTTTCTTATATAAAGTATTGATCATAATTAACAAACGCTAGTCATCTTCTATAAATATTCAAATTATAATAAATAAACTCTCATACTTTTCATAAATATTTCAATTGATTGAGTTACACTGATTGTACAAATGTGATGAGTTACATTTGAAACATATTATATATATATATATATATTTGTGTGAATATATCCCAAAACATTTGAAATTGATTACTGTTTGATAACCTCTTCCTTTTAATTTAATTTAAACTTATTTTATTTAAGATATTAATTTAATGACTAAAATCCTTCTCGCATTGAATAATTAATTTAACGACACAGATGCATTGCATTTTATAATTATTAAAAGGGTAAAATCACAATATAACAATATACTTTCATAATTTTTTTCATTATAATATTGTATTTTCAGTTTTTTATTACAACAATTTACATTCAAACTATTTTTTATTAGGACATTGTACTTTGAAAAATTTATTCATTATAGAATTGGGTAACCTTTTGATTTAAATTTATCCATTATACCAAGTTTTCATGTCACCTCATTGTCCACATCGGCTGTCCACATGTACTATAGTGGTATGACTTTCTTACTACATCATTGTACTTTCAAAATTATTTTATTATAGCATCTACCAGTTCTTATTAAACACTGTATTTTTAATTTTAATATTTAGATATTTAACATGTTATTTAATAAATATATTAAATGAATAAAAAAATTCCAAATTATTCATTAATATACCAATATCAATAAAACTAGTAGAACACAACTTATCTCGCTAATATTTTAAAAAAAATATGTGTTTTTTGAAAAAAGAAAATAAGAATTGTTCATTTTTTACCAAAAAATATTATCTTTTAAAGAATATATTATATTTGTTTAAAAAAATTACTTAACGTATAAATATATTAAATTAATTAGATTTTTTTGAATTATTTATTAATATAACAATATTAAAAAATTATATATTACAATTTATTTCGTTAACATTTTCAAGATAACTTTAAGGTGGCGTTTGTTTTTTAAGAGGTGCTGAAGTCTGAAGTCTGAATTCACTTCTTAATTTTAAGAGGTGGTGCTGAAGTCTGAAATCTGAATCAGTCAGACTGTTTGTTTTTACGTCTGAAATCTGAAATCTGAATCAGTCAGACTGTTTGTTTTTACGTCTGAAATCTGAATCAATTCATTTCAATTAAATTTAACTGAAATATCCAATCATTTAAACCATTTGTAAACTACCATATACTTTTAACACATTCAAAAATTCAATTCAAATGCGTCAATTGATTCAAAACACAATAGAAAACAAAAATTCAATTGAAATGC